ACCCAATGCAGGACAAGCCCTGATGGCTGCTAACGCGAGTTGGCCGAGGAAAAGCGACAGCCGCCCCGCGTCTCTGGAAGACGGAAAACCTGCGCAGCAACCGAGCCCTCGTCCAGGAAGACGAGGAGCCATGCGTGGGAATGCGCGGGGCGGCAACCTGCCAGCCGTGGAAGCTGCCTTGGCCTGGGAGACAAACATTCCTGGGCTCTGCCTGCCACCTCTGTGGCTTCCTAGAGAGCCATTTCCTAGGCCCAGAGCTGAAACTCCTCCAGAAGATGGGCGACCACCTGACCAAACCCCACAGGCTGTTGGGCCCCAACCTATCGTCCTTAAGTGTCACTAGTAGCCTCCCGCGCCCAGTGGCCTTTGAGGACCCACCCGCTGCTTCCCCCTGGCCTGCCTGAGCGCCTCCCTCTAGCTTCGAGGTAGCTTTTTAATCACCATGGACCCCTCTCCCAAGCCATGGACCAAGTGGAAAAAATAACAGAGAAAAAGCCATCTGCAAACGACTCAAGAAAATTAACAAACAAAAACAAAACAAAGAAATGAAAAGAAAATTTTCATATTGAACAAAGATAGGTTGCTTTTAAATTCGTTTTAATTAAGGTATATTTTCATGGTTCATAGCTACATCTTTTTGTATCTTACAAATAAAGAATCTCCACAGATTCTGTACAGTGTATCAATACTGAAGAATTAGCGTACCTGATCTCTGCAAGAAAACATGTTGTTTTGCTGATGGTGAAATTCTTTCAGTGATTACAAGAGTTGATCAAGACCCCGCTACAAATAGGAGGCTAAGTCAGTGCCTAAATTCAGACCAGATTCAGTTCACAACTACACCCCTTCCACAAAAGCTATGAAATGAAGGCAGATGCAGCATGTTCCAAACCAACTCTCGGAAGGTAATTGGTTCTGGCCTCTCAAGTGCTGCCTGTTAACTTGCAACAGACAAGGATTTACTTTCGTAATTACAGAAAGTCTGAATGACTAAAACCATGAGCTTTATGCTGTGGTGAGATAACCATGATATGGGTTCATGAGATAGAAAACAGATAGTAATAGTACATGACTGATAGGAGCACTTTCTTTACTTAGGCTTTTGTCAACTAAACATGAGATTTCTTATCTTGTAGAGTCTGCTTAAAGTTAAAGTTCATAAATATTCCCTTAGGACCACAATTCTTTCAAAACAGCCATTGTACATACCAATTTAAAATGAATATTAAATAAGGCTTAGAAGTAGTAGGCAAAAATGAGATAAAAGAGTGGCTACAAGATGTGTTTCCCTTAGATACCAGTCTTGGAGGCAATCCAGTTGCGGTAGGCAGTCACTCGCGTGTAGACACCTGGCTTGTTGATTGTACCACATTCTACTCCCCAACTTACTATTCCAACAAGGTACCAAATGTTTCGAGAATTGGGATGAACCAGTGGTCCTCCAGAGTCACCCTAAATTAAAAAAATGTATTTATCATTATGACAGTTTACTTTCAGATACCTTACTTACACTCACTGATAAGCCCAGGTGAAGTTCGTGATTCATGCGTCATAGAGACCATAGGAAGGTATGTGATGTAAATCCCTGCACCTCCCTTAACCTCAACTGTGGCTGACCAGAATGTATTTCCTGGGGCTCTTTGGGATTAACTTGAACCTTAAAGGCAAGAGCTCATAAGTTTCAAGGTCTAGTTCTATGGGAAAGCTTTGGGAGACCTATATTAGGGATATTCTTGGAGTACAATTCTTTATATCTGAGAAAAGTGACAAAACTGTGGCCATAAGTGGCTAGGAAGAAAAGAAATAGGCTAGATGTATTTTTAAAATTTCTGAGCCTGAAATGTGGTTAAGAGTACGGACTGTGATGCTAGCCTACCTTGGCTTATATGCCAGTTCTCCCACGTACTAGCTGTGTAACCTTGTGCAAATTATTTACCTTCCTTTGCTTCAGTTTCCTCATCTATAAAGTGATGGTAATGATGGCACCTATATCACAAGGTTGTGATGACAATTAAATGGATTAATATTTGTAAAAGACTTCAGTCAGTGCTTGACTCAGAGTAAGTCCAACATGTGTTTATTAAACAGTTATAAACACAAGTTGTACTTAGGGGAGAATTACTTTAGTGCCAGAGCCAAGAGGGAGTTTGACAGGATTGTAAAAGTGCAAATTAGTTGAAGCATAGAATCATTTCTATGTTGATGATTTACATAAAACATAATAACAGTTACTTATATACTATATGGTCAATGTGAATAATGTCCAGCCTTACCTGGCACGCATCAATATTTCCTTCCATGTACCCAGCACACAGCATTGTGTCTTGTACCATACCATTATATGCTTCCTTAGCATTACAAGTGTTTGTATCAATAATCTTCACAGGTGCCTTCTGAAGTAACACTGGGTATTCACCTAAAGGAGTAAACATTATCAGCAAAAGAGCTCCTCTGTAACAAAGCAGGATGGAAAACTTGTTTTGCCCTCTGTGTGTAAGACCTGTATTTGCCTATTATTAGGATGAAAAAGCCCACCCTCACTCAAACCAATGAAAAAGAAATACTTAACAGTTTGAAACATCTTTCTAATGCTGCTTTTCTGTGTCCTCTCTCTTCTTAACATCTTTGCACTAGAAACTTCTCAATTAAGTTCTTCAAGTTAAGGAGTTTCTACAGCGAAATTGGTTCCCTTGTAATGTTTCAAACCAAGGCGATTTGCAAAGTCATAAGTTTATATGCACCATTCCCTGAATGGTTTCCTGAGAGTACTGGTCATCTAGGGGTAAATGATGCTTTTCATTCTGTGCCTAGATCACTAATTTTTCTTGTTGCTTTTCTGCCTTATGTGGTAAGTGTTCACTTGACTTACCATCATATGAAAGTGCTCCCCATCCTGTAACAACTACTCCTTCACCTGGTGGAAAAATCTGTGTGGCTTCAGGAAGACAAACTCGATGTACATCGTTCTTAAATAAAACTTTTTCAGTGAGCAATATAACTGCAATATCATCATGATGTTCACCCTTGATGTAGTCTTCATGAATAATAATTCGTTGAATATGATGTTGCATGTAGGGAGGACTTACTTTGGTGCCAAAGCTGACAGTATAGTTTTTTGGATCTTCTGTCCTAAGGAAACAAAAATAATGTGTTTTATATTTATTTCAGAGGAATAGAAATAGAGCTTGCATCTATTATAGTCTTTTCATGACATTAGTGATATTTCCTTGCTTTATAACCCATTAGCAGGGATACAATCTGATTTTTTAACTCATTTAAAAACTCTTGTTTGAGCCTGTACACCATATGCTTGCATAAGGCAATGAGAATGTAGAAATAAAAATAGTCCATGCCTTCAAGAAATTCAAATGTAATGAAGGATGGACATAAACACAGGCAGCTATAATTGCTTAAATGGTTATGTATATAATTAGTGGTACCACAAAACAGAAGGACTTAAATCTGCATACCCTAGGGAATGGAAGATTTCTTAGGAGAAGTAGCTTTTTGATGAGACTTTGGAGCTGAGCCATATTTGCCTAAAAGACAATGAGAGGGAGACAGGCAAATGCAGAGCAGAAAAAGAATATGAAATAGGATGATATGTTTCAGTGACTATAAGTAGTTTGGGATGTCTGAAGTATAAGGTGATGAGAGAAGAATCATGTGAGAAATACAGCATCAGGAATGAATGACTTTTCCCATTATTACTGATAAACTAGGAAAACCTTAGATTGGCTTGTCATGTAATTTGTCTTTCAAACC